AAATTAAAATGTAAAAGTAAGACAGAAGTGTAGCAAGAAAATGATGGTAAAGGGGGAATATGATGACAGAAAGATATGTACTCAGATGACACACTGAATAATTAATTTGTCAGGGTTCCAAGGAACACCCCCAACAAAATAAAGCTCTTAGGCCTAATTTATTAGAGATGTCATGTTGACACATCTGGAAAAACCTGAATCTGAAAGCTTCCAGGTTTTCCACACCCAGCTGACAGTTCGCAGCCCTGACCCACACCCACAAGTTCATCACATCACACACAGGTGGCTATGGGAGCAACATGGCTCTCCCGTGTAACACCTCTCTTGTGTGAGCTGCACTGGCTCCCGGTGGTCTTCCAGGTGCACTTCAAGGTCTTGGTCACCACCTTTAGAGCGCTCCATGGCTTAGGACTTGGTTATTTACGGGACCGCCTACTACCACAAACAGCCTCCCACCGGCCGGTACGCTCTCATAGAGAGGGGCTCCTCCAGGTGCCATCAGCCAAACAATGTCGACTGGCGGCCCCCAGGGGGAGAGCCTTCTCTGTGATGGCACCCACTATCTGGAACGAGCTCCCCACAGAGATATGGAGGATCCCGGATCTGCGCATTTTCCGCCATGCTCTTAAGACCTTCCTATTCCAGCAAGCCGGCCTGGCCTAATTTTCTTCCTGTTTTAAAATTCTTTTAAATTGAAATTTTAATCTGTTATAAATTATTGGGATTTTTAATTGTCTCGGGCTAAATTATTTAATCTGGTTTTAATTATGTTTCTAACTTTTGTATCTATGTATTTTATTTTGTGCCTGTTTACCGCCCTGAGTCCTTCGGGAGTAGGGTGGTATATAAATTTAATAAAAACAAAAACAAACAAAACATTATCCAATCAATTCTTCACACTCAACTGGATACAATCTTCAGGCAGTCTCCATCAGATTCAGGCAAAAGTCCTTGAATAAGGAATGTTCTTATGACTAACTTTCTACCACTCCAACAAAAACCCCCTCCCAACTTCCCCAGCTAAAATATGTGGCAGTTAACAAGCAAAAAAGAAAATTGTCTTCCAAAACTGACATAATGATATATTGTTTGTTTAAACATAAAAATAAAAACTTAAAAAAAAATCTTTCCTAGTATCAGGGTCTCTTCCAATGAGTCCTGACTTCCCATAGGTGGCCAAAGTATTTGAGCTTCAGATCCTTCCGTGGCTGATTGCATTTAGGATTGACTGATTTGATCTCCTTGCAGTCCAAGGGAATCTCAAAAATCTTCTCCAACAATCTACCTGTCCATATCTCCATTTCTCAGCTTGACTATGCTTTTTTTTTTTTGATGACCGATTTCCATTATTTGAATATCATCCTTTAAAAAACTCTATACTGTACATGAACTATTAATTGGCAAGAAGGACATCACTTGTGCTATCCCTGAGGAACTATAAAGAAATCACATGAGAATTTTTTTTCCAAGTCTTCATTGTTACTGAAAAGAGTTATATGTAGAAACATTCCTCTCTAAACCTGTCTCCAGAACGTATTTGATGCTTCCTACAAGGTAAGAAAGAAGATTCTATATTTGATGTGGATTGTAAGGTCTTTCACACTTATGGTAATTTGGGGGTTGGGTGACAAATGCTGATATGTTGAGATTTTCAACATTGATGTCAGTAAGATGAAGGCACCAAGCTTCTCTAAGTCATCTGTCTGTGCATATTTAACAGATTAACAGAGTTGGAAGGGACCTTATAGGTCATCTAGTCCAACACCCCCCCTCAATCAGGAGACCCTATACTATTTCTGACAAATGGCAGTCCAATCTTTTCTTGAAAGTCTCCAGTGATGAAGCCCCTACAGCTTCCGAAGGCAACTTCTGTTCCATTGGTTGATTGTTCTCATTGTCAGAAAGTTCCTTCTCATTTCTAGGTTGAATCTCTCCTTGGTCAGTTTCCATCCATTATTCCTTGTCTGGCATTCAGGTGCTTTGGAAAACAGCTTGACCCTTTCCTCTCCGTGGCAGCCCTCAAATATTGGAACACTGCTATCATGTCTCCCCTGGTCCTTCTCTTCCCTAGATTAGCCATGCCCAGTTCCTGTAATCGTTCTTCTTATTTTTTAGTCTCCAGTCCCCTAATCATCTTGGTTGCTCTCCCCTGCACTTTTTCTACAGTCTCAACAACTTTTTTATAGTGTGGTGACCAAAACTGGATGCCCTATTCTAGGTGTGGTCTTACTAAGACTTCATAGAGTGGTATTAGTACCTCACTTGATTTTGATTGTATCCCTCTGTTAATGCAATTTAGGATTGCTTTGGTTTTTTTAGCTGCCGCTGCACACTGCTGGCTCATATTTAGCTGATTGTCCATTAAGACTCCAAGATCCCTCTCACAGTCACTGCTTTTTGTATGTGCATCTGTCCTGGGAAGTATGCATATAAAAATCTTGCTGTTTTGAGTTGGACAGAGCATGCAGAAAGCGATGTGAAAGCTGAAATTGTACTTCCAATTTATAGCTGTGTTTTGCTGCTTTTGCTATATGACTTAATGAGATTTTTGTAAATTAAATGTGTATTAGAGGAAAATTAGGAGGTAAAGAGAAGGATGGAAAACATTGCCCTGATGAAAAGGAAGCTTAAATGATTGATTCCTTAAAAGGATGAGGGGTTTGTTTTACTTGGTGCTTGGGGAAATATATTGCCTAACATAGAGTACTCATTTCTAAAGATCTAAGTGCCAGAGCCCACTATCACAACATTGCCAAAAAGGCATTAAGAGTTGTTAACCTAATCTTGCATAGCTTCTTCTCTGGTAATGTTGTACTACTAACTAGAGCATACAAAACATTTGCTAGACCAATTCTTGAATACAGTTCATCTGTCTGGAACCTTCACTGCATATCAGACATAAATACAATCGAGAGAGTCCAGAGATATTTTATGAGACGAGTCCTCCATTCCTCTACCCACAATAAAATAACTTATGCCACCAGACTCCAAATTTTGGACTTAGACAACTTAGAACTATGCTGACTTCAGTCTGACCTAATCATAGTACATACAATTATCTGCCACAATGTCCTTCCTGTCAAAGACTACTTCAGCTTCAACCACAACAATACACAAGTAAATAATAGATACACACTCAAAGAAAACTGCTCCAAACTCGATTGCAGAAAATATGATGTCAGTAACAGAGTGGTCAATGCCTGGAATGCACTACCTGACTCTGTAGTTTCACCCCCAACCCCACAAAACTTTAATCTTAAACTGTCTACTGTTGACCTCACCCCATTCCTAAGAGGTCTGTAAGGGGCGTGCATAAGCACACCAGCGTGCCTACCATCCCTGTCCTAATATTCCTTTTTACTTACTCTGTTCATGTATTCAAATTATGTTTATACTTTTACCTGTTCTCTTATATATGCTTGACAAATAAACTTATGATTATGATTATGGAGTAAGGGCTGTAGGTATTGAAAAAGCAAATGGAAAAATGAAGATTAAGGTCGGAAAGTAGGAAAATGGTCAGGATGTCTACTACCATGAATTAATTGGTTGCAAGGTTTCTCACCCAGTTTTGAAATCTTTTCACTAACTGAAAAACAGAGTGAGTACAGTTCTTACATTGGAGTAACTGATCAGAGAGGGCTAAAAACAGATTCCAATTCCAGATATACAAATTATGAAATACAATTCTTTTGTAATAGAATAAAAGAGAAATTCTTTCAAATTGCAACTGATTCCTGTCTACAAATATTCCTCACCACTCCTACATCTTTTAATGTAAATTAATCCTGTCTCTCTCTCTCTCTCTCTCTCTCTCTCTCTCTCTCTCTCTCTCTCTCTCTCTCTCTCTCTCTCTCTCTCTGAGTGTGTGTGTGTGTAGAGGTGAGATGTTGCATGAATAGACAGTACATTTTTTAAATCACTTTGGGAAGGCACCTGATAATATTACATACCACAATGAAGTGATGAAAGGGTTTGCCTGCAAAGTTTAATACTCTCAATTAAAAAAAAAAAAAAGTCAAATAGATTTAAAACCAGACCTATTTCTGTTACGCATGTTGACAGGAAAATATAATTTTTTAAAAAATCTAATACTTAATGCTACATGTAATAACAGTGGCTAGAATTGAATATGCTCAAAATTGGAAAACTGGAAACATACCCTCTGAGGAAATGGTAATAAAGAAAATATTAGACTCTGCTGAGATAGATAGATTGACAATGGAAATGAAAGATAAAGGAGAAACAGAACACTTTTTAATTTGGGACGTATGGTACAATTGGTTGGAGAGTAGATGCAAATATTAGAAAAGTAACAATGAAAGACGATCAACGGATGAGAACTTAGAAATAAATATAAGTATAATGATAGACAGAATACTTATTGTAATTAATATGATGGTAGAATGTTATAAAAATATAAAATAAAACAAATACAATAATGTATATTAGGAGACATAATAGAATATATAATGGAAATGGATATAAACCGGTATATCGCTGTTGTAAAGTTTGAAACGGTGATGTAAAATGAAGAAAACTGTATAATAAAAATATTATTTTTTTAAAAAAAAAGTCAACATACTTTTGAAGGCTGTCCTTCAAAAATATTAAATTAAACAAGAAAGATTATGTCAGTTTTGTTTATTCCTGTATTAGATTTCAGAAAGATTAAAACAAACCCTGAAAAGCTTCCACATAGCGTGCAATACTTCAGTGAGGTAAAATGGGTGACGGCATTTTATGAGGAAAAAATTAATTTCATGTCTCCCCTCACATCCTGAATCAAATAGCCACAGATTCTCTGAGAGCGGTGGTGATATTTCCAAAACCACTAATTAATCAACAGTTATGTGAGTAAAAAATATGAAACGGTTCAGTAACCCTGCACAGCAATTCACTTCAGCCATTTATGTGATTATCCAATTATGTACCTTTCTTACACCACAAATGATAATGTTACTATAAATTATTGTATCGTTTTAGAAAAGAAGAACAAGATGTCAAATGCTACATTTTTCAATGAATTTATTCTTCTGGGATTTTCGGAATTTCATGAACTGAACCTGGGATTTTATATACTCCTCCTTCTGATGTACCTTCTGTCACTTATAGGACATTCCTTAATCATCATCGTGGTTTCCATGGAACCTAAGCTCCATACTCCAATGTATTTCTTCCTCCTCAACTTCTCCCTGGCTGAGATTGCTTCCACAACATCAGAGATCCCAAAGATGTTGCTCAATAGCTTATCCGGCAAAAACACCATCTGCTTTGCATGTTGCATGGCCCAAGATTTCATGGTCTTCACAATGGGAGCTGTGGAATTCATCACCCTCACGATCATGTCTTTTGATCGCTACGTGGCCATCTGCAAACCTTTGCATTATCAAACCATTATGACTAGTGGACTCTGTCTCAAACTCTCTTTGCTGGCATGGATTGGTGGGTTTGGACTCATATTTCCTCAGGCGGTCGTGGTGTGGATGTACCCCTATTGTGGGCGCAATATCATTGATCATTTCTTTTGTGACATTGGTCCAGTTTTGCAGTTGGCTTGTGCTGACACAATAGTGATTGAGTTAATAGGATTCCTTTATGGTGCTGCTATAATGTGGGGCTCCTTTGGGTTCTCTCTGATTTCATATACACGCATTATAAAAGCCATACTTCAGATCCCTTCAGCCACTGGGAGGTCCAAAGCCTTCCTCACCTGTGCTTCCCATCTTATTGTTCTAACCATTTTCTATACAGCAGATATGCTTATGTACTTGAAACCTTCAACGCATGGTGACACCCGACTCAATAAGGGAATCTCTCTTGTACGCACCAGTTTTGTACCCATGTTAAACCCTTTCATCTACACAATCCGGAATAGTGAATTCAAGACAGCTTTGTGGAAAGCAGTGACCAAAAGGATGAGTTTCTAACATGGTGCGTGATGCTAAGTATCCAGGTGTTTCCATTATCTCTCCTTCTGAAAGAGAACTACAGAGTCTTTGGTGCTCTCTGATCTTGGTTGCTTTCTTGCAGGCTTTTCATTACTCAAATAGGCATACCCATTATCAGCATTGCTATATAATGTTGTTACCTAATTGGGTAATGAAATGTCTGCAAGAAAAGAACCAAACTCAGGGACAACCAAGGACTCCACAGTTCAACCGTGAGCTACAAATATTCTCTTCTGTTGAAAGAGAAAATATTTTGTAATCCTCGTCACATCTGTGTCTGTTGGGAAATCTTTCAATGGTTCCACATCGATCTGGGATGAAATACAAAATTGCAAATGAAATTGTGAAGTCTTTAAAATGGTTGATGGCTCTTGTGAAGTCTTTGTCCATTTGACAAAGCTGAATCTCAAACAGGACTCTATGTTCAAGACTTTTTCTATTTAGTATAGAAAAGCTAAGAAGCATTAACAGAGCTTCGGTGAGTAATGAGTATACATCACAATTCTATTCGGTTCAAATCTCCTCCTCCTCCTCCTATTGTTCAAAGCAAATTTCTTTCTTTCTCTCATTTTGAGCAATCATCAAACCTAACATCAGCTTTTGGCTGTTGATTATGTGTGAAGCCATCACAATTCCTGGATGTAGGATATAGAAATCAATGATTCCATGAATAGTTAATATAAATGGAGATTTGTTTTCAGGTTTTATCAAGAATATATTGGGATTCGTGCCATCATTTTTAAGGTACAGGTGGTCCTCCTCAGCTTACAACAATTCATTTAGCAACCATCCAAAGTTACAATGGCACTGAAGCATAAGTAATGTATAAGAAGGTGAATGATCATCCTCTCAGTCTAACTTCAAGAGAATACATTTCTTCAGGAAATAGGAACTCTGAGTAAATTCCCTTTTCTATCTAATTTTGACTAGGATGTGTCAAGGCAGACTGAACAGTTCCAATCATTTTTCACAGATCACTGCATTCTATGCAATTTAATTTAGCATCTGAAAAATAACATGAACCTTGTGACTGAAAGAGTTTGAAGATTTTTTTTCCTCCCTTCCTTCTGCTAGTGTAACTTGGATGAGAGCAAGCAGAGTTAAGACAACAGTATTGAGATAGATTAATAGCAATAAAAATTCTATTCTATTCTATTCTATTCTATTCTATTCTATTCTATTCTATTCTATTCTATTCTATTCTATTCTATTCTATTCTATTCTATTCTATTCCAATAGCTCTTACACTTATATACCGCTTCACAGTGCTTTGCGGCCCTCTCCAAGCGGTTTATAGAGTCAGCCTGTTTACCTGAACAACTGGGGTCATCATTTTACTGACCTCAGAAGGATGGAAGGCTGAATCCACTGGATCGAACTGCTGGCAGTGGACAGAATTAGTCTGCAAAGCTGCCTTCTAAGCACTGAGCCACCAAGGCATTGACTTTGCAAAGGATTTGAACACATTGTAAGTAGCAAAACAAAGTCCAAACATTGGTAATTTTCTTTTCAATGTGGAATAGAGAGGGGTACTGGGGGTGCAGTCTATATTTCTTCAAGATTTATTTTGGGTCCTTCCATAGACTTGGCTCACCATCAACCAATTTCCCCAGATCACCTCCAAAGATTTCCCTAACCAATTTGTTGACTTCCATTCCCATATGACAATCTTTGACTCAGTTTGGGATCTTGTAATAATTCATTGCTACCAGTATTATTATTATTAATTTTTTTAAAAAGTCATTATCACATAGATTCATTAATGAACCACACTCTGAAAGAATGTCATAGTCCTTTGTTTTTTCAGTCTTATTAATCTGCTGTACTCTGTGTCAGCACATCAAGATGCATTTATCCTAGTGCTGACATAAGAAGGAGAATGCAGGCATCTGTAACGGGACGGTTGCCTTTCACCTACTTATTTCCTCTGGAGATAATGTCCCCTAGGAGATGGATGGGAGGGGGGAAATTTTTTTGAATTGGAGCAGTAGATTAGGGGTGAATGATTGGGAAGATGGCCAATGAATGCAGAGGAGTGGGGGAAGGAAGAGGAGGGGTTTTGGGTCAGCACGTCAGTGCCGGCTGCAACGAGTTAGTGTAAAAAGTGCTGTGCTTAATAAAATGGAAATATGTTTTATAAAAGACTTTGTTTGCAATGCAATTTATTTGAAGGCAGCCTGAAAACCTGATACTCTGCTTGGTTTCTTCATCACCATCAGCGTGGAAATTATTTTATAGACGATCTTTTGGGTTTCATGGATATGTTATGGCCAAATGATAGGCTACGCTGTTTGAAAACTTTCTAAAAAAAGAAAAGAGATTAATCACTTGTCCTTTTTTTCCCCCTAAAAGAAAAGTTGCTAAGAGCAACCAAGATGATTAGGGGACTGGAGGTTAAAACATATAAAGAACAGTTGCCGGAATTCGGTATGTCTTGTTTAATGAAAAGAAGGACTAGGGGTGACATGGTAGCAGTCTTTCAATATCTCAGGGGCTGCCACAAAGAAGACGGAGTCAAGCTATTCTCCAAAGCACCTGAGGGCAGAACAAGAAGCAATTGGTGGAAACTAATCAAGGAGAGAAGCAACCTAGAACTAAGGAGAATTTTCCTGACAGTTGGAATAATTAATCTATCAATGTTTACTTGTGCTTTTAGTCCCATGTTGACCCCTGTTCCTTAATTGTTCCCTTCTCCTGACAGCTCTGCACATGCATGTATCAGGAACAGGCTCCAGCTATTCTTCTGCCTCACTTATCTCCGACTACGAAAGTAGTTGATAAATGTCAAACAGCCCTGGCCCCATCTGTGCCTCCGATGCAGAACACCCATCAGAGCCTTCTCCAGACTCCAGGAGCGGCCCTTGTTCCTCCCCAATCTCCTCACTGTCTGAGTCTCTGGCCACTGGTGGGCCACAACAAAATATCTCAAGGGGTTACAGATGGCCATGTAGTGATCAAAGACCAAAATGTAATCTGTAGTTCCCAAGAAAAAATAGAAATACATCTGCATCATGCAACCCATAAAAGAAAAAAAAAATCACTCTGTGATTATATTGAACATCATTTGGGGAATGATAACAGTGGTGAAGCAAAGTCCAGAGAAGGAAAGGTTGCCCAGAAGTCAATACATGGGGGTGTGGAGTCAATAATCTTTCCATACAAAGAAGTTAGTATGTAGATGACTGTTATGATCAGGAACACAGGAACCTTGCATTTCTGGATGCCAGGAAAACCTGTTAAAATGAATTCTTTCACCATGCTGTAATTTTCAGACCTCATCCTATATTATATCATGAGTCAAAACATTGAAAAATTACATTTCCTCATTAAATGGCATATTTGAGCAAAGGTACTACACAATGACAAGCAGATGAGCTCATGTTCATGATGAGTCTAAGAATGCACTATTTAATATTTTCAATAAAAGAATACCCAATGTTGTAATTATTTCAGGAATCAATGTATAACAGAATCAATATATAACAGAATAACAGAACATCAGTGTTAAGGAATTTGCAGAGTAACCCTTGAATAGCAAGGGTGTACACATGAAAGCGATTGAGAGTAGATACGAATAAACACAGTCAACACACAGATTAACCCAGTGTAAACACACTGAGTTGTGTTTACTTTTAGGAAATAGTAAGGCACAGTCCAATAAACAGTCCAGGTCATACACATATAAAGCAGGAGATAGTAAAACAACAGTCCAGGGATAATCCAATAACAAAGTCTTCTTGCCAGTCGTCGTAGTCATTCACAATAAACAGTTATTCTGGATTTGCAAACAGTAGCATACAGAATTATCAGAGAGCAAGAACAGCAAAGAGAAAAACAAACCATGTTTCTAGCTCCCTCTTAAGGAGATTGGCTACAAAGCTAACCAATCAGGACACAGTATGATGCAATACAGCAGTCTTAAAGCTATATAGATGGTTTATAGATTGCCAACCCAACAAGGTAGGTAATACTCATTTCCTAACAATCAGTGTTTGAAGTGACCTTGGATGTCAATCAATCAATCAATCAATCAATCAGAATAGAGCTGGAAGGGACCTTGGAGGTCTTCTAATCCAACCCCATGTTCTGGCAGGAAACCCTATATCATTTCAGTCAAATGATTGTCCAGTCTTTTCTTAAAATCCTCCAATATTGGAGCACCCACAACTTCTGGAGGCAAGTTGTTCCACTGATTAATTGTTCTGTCAGGAAATCTCTTATTTCTAGTTTGCTTCTCTCCTTGATTAGTTTCCATCCATCACTTCTTCTGTTGCCTTCAGGTACTTTGGACAATAGGTTGACTCCCTCTTCTTTTTGGCAGCTCCTCAAATATTGGAATATTGGAAGACTGCTATCATGTCCCCCTTAGTCCTTCTTTTCATTAAACTAGACATACCCAATTCCAACAACTGTTCTTTATATGTTTTAGCCTCCAAAACGGGGCACTGCCCACACCCCATTTTGTCTCCCAGGAGGCTGCAGGGAGGCCTGCTAGGCCCAAAACAGGGTGTGGGGAGGGGGCTTCAAGGGAGAAAGAAAGAAGGGAGAAAGAAAGAAAGAAAAAGAAAGAAAGAAAGAAAGAAAGAAAGAAAGAAAGAAAGAAAGAAGAGAAAGAAAGAGAAAGAAAGAGGGAGGGAGAGAAGGGAGAAAGAAAGAAAGAAAGAAAGAAAGAAAGAAAGAAAGAAAGAAAGGAAGGAAGGAAGGAAGGAAGGAAGGAAGGAAGGAAGGAAGGAAGAGGGAAGGAAGGGAAAGTGCAGGAATGGGATTCAAATCCCATTGCTACCGGTTTGCTTGTGGGTGCGCATGTGCTCGCTGGTGCACAAGACGCTTTTGCGCATGTGCAAAGACGTCCAGGCAGTGGGCAGAGCCTCCCGCCACCGCCGCTATCATATTGCTTGATCTGGGGCGAACCAATAGCAACCCATCACTGGATGGATGGATAGAGGGAGGGAGGGAGGGAGGGAGAGAAAAAGGAGAGG